AACGAAACGCAACGTACATGTCTGGGACTCCCTTCTCTACCCTACTGAGTTTTTTTACCCCAACTCCCAGAGTCTGTCCGGACGGATGGGCGGGCGCACGCTGACGTCATAACCAAATTTTCTGGCATCAATAGGTTTAAAGCTGATGACAACGTGTATCGCTTTTTTAGAACATTATTTCGGCTGGCCATTCCAGTCTTCTTGAGGTTTACAGATGTTTTTGGATCTGGAGGTCCAGGGTTCCAGCCTCGCCCATCGCGTTGTTTCCTTAGGCAATGAAGTTTATTCCACTTTGTCTCTCCTCACCCAGGTGTATAAATGGGTACCAGCGACATACTGCTGGGGGTAACCCTGCGATGGACTAGCATCCCGTCCAGGGGGGAGTAAGAATACTCCTAGGTGTTTCATGCTAATGAAACCGGGATAAGCTCTGGCCGTTTGGGCCTTTCGCTCATGGCGCCTTTACCTTTATTTTAGCTGATTAGGTCCCTTTTCTAGAAACCCAAGATTGACAACCAGCAGGATCTTCGTCCATAGTTTTTGCAGTTAATTTCTTAATCCATAGGTTTCCATTTTCTATAGATAGGAGGCATCGCTGCTCATGCTTCGTTATAATTTAACTTATACTTGCGTTTTTTCGCAGATCCTCCATCTTCATAGAAATAACAAGGTGGATTGTACGCAGGAGCCGAGCCGAAGTCAATTTGAAACTGCAGAAGCAACGTGCAATAATTCCAGCATGAGAATAGAAACTTATAGAAGCAAGAACTCAATGTTTTCCCTCGATCAAGTCCAGACGAGCTCGGGTTGAATAAGGAACGCTCAATCTACCGCGGATTGAAACACAGCCACTAAATAAGAATCAAGAGTATAAAAAAGAACGAGACTGTCCCTGGAAAAAGTGGTAAACTCGGCAGTCAAAGACAAGAGTAGCAAAAATGTTAGAAATTTGTAAAATAAGAAGTTACAAACAAAACAGATGAAATACCGCTTCTTTCAGAACTGTATCACTTATAATGAGGTGGCTGATTATCTCACAGAAAAAACATGGTATCCTTTCGGCCACATAACTGTAAATACCACTCGCACACATGAAATGCTGTTGAATGTTGAAACGCTTTGTCAGACGCCATTTTGAAACTAGTGTAGAAGGGAGTTATGGGTATGCAAAGAACTGAATTATCTAGGCACTTACGGAAAGCTTGTTCACATAGAGACCCTGTACTTACCTTAATATACGAGTACAAGGTATCGACCTTAGATTCCGGGACTGGCATCGTGCCCGAATTCTGGCCTTCAAGCAATGACATCCAACTTGGGTCACACTAATCTGGCACTTTCCTTTTTTTTTTTTAAACTTTATTCTATCGCTCATATAGTACAAACTCAGTAAAACCAAAGCCGGGGCTTATACGGCCTGTGGTCAGAATGACAGAAATTATTTTATATAGAAATAAAGACTGTAGGCTAGACTACAAAACTAAAACAAGATACAAAACTGAAAGTAAATAAATTTACATGCATGCAGTCCTATAACTGTCCTATAACAGTGCATAACTAGTGACAAATAAACTAACAATAAGCTATGAGAATCCTGCGCTAGTTCAATTTAGGCTTAAAAAGTGAAGTTTTAGTTTCTTTTTGAAGTTACTAGTGGTCAGGCTGTCACGAACAGTCAAGAGGGTATCGTTCCAAATAGTCGGGGCTTGAGAACTAATCGCGAATTGATACCTGAGGGACATTTTATGCAAGTTGAAACAAGAACGAGTTAGATAATCATGAAAATCACGATTAAAGTGGAGGAGGGAGGAAAGAGAGGCAGGTAAAAGGTGATTAAAGTGTGAGAATACAAAACAAGAAACATGAAATTTATAAAGTGAATGGAGAGAAAGAATATTAAGCTTCGAGAAAAGAGGCTTAGAACGAGTTCTTGGAGGAGAAAAGGTGATAATTCGAATGGCTTTCTTTTGGAGTAGATAGAGGGGTTCAAGGTAGGAGGCATATGTAGATGTCCAGATAAGGTTACAATTGTTGATATTNTTTTATGCAAGTTGAAACAAGAACGAGTTAGATAATCATGAAAATCACGATTAAAGTGGAGGAGGGAGGAAAGAGAGGCAGGTAAAAGGTGATTAAAGTGTGAGAATACAAAACAAGAAACATGAAATTTATAAAGTGAATGGAGAGAAAGAATATTAAGCTTCGAGAAAAGAGGCTTAGAACGAGTTCTTGGAGGAGAAAAGGTGATAATTCGAATGGCTTTCTTTTGGAGTAGATAGAGGGGTTCAAGGTAGGAGGCATATGTAGATGTCCAGATAAGGTTACAATTGTTGATATTAGGTAGAAAGAGGGAATTATATAAGGTTTTTAGAGTGACCGAAGGTAAGTATTGTCTCGATTTAGACAAAATTCCTATAACATAAGCGACTTTATCGCAGATGGAAGTGATGTGCGGTTTCCCTGAAATGTTTTCGTGAATAATTATTCCAAGAAATTTATGTTCCTGTACCCGTGCTATAGGGGCATTATTTATTAAGATGTTTAATTCTGAAGGATTGATCTGTTTACGTCGTGGATGGAAGATGATGAATTTGGATTTATCAGGATGAACAGTAAGCTTGTTTGCGTTAAACCAGGAAGAGACATGAGAAAGCTCTTGATTAACCGTTCTAGTTAAAGTAGCCAAGTCTTTATGACGACGAAAAATATTGGTGTCATCAGCAAAAAGAATAAATGAAAGACAATTTGAAGAAAGAAAAAGATCATTAATGTATAGGAGATATAATAAGGGGCCAAGAAAAGAACCTTGAGGGACCCCACACACAACAGTATTATTAGAAGAAACATGACCATTGACCATAACATACTGTTTCTCTCTTTCGTTGTTGTTTTGTAATGATTTTTCGGTGGAATCGTCCAATTTCAAGGCCAACATTCAAAGGAAGAGCCCGGGGAAAAGGACCTCGCCGGCAACATGTAACGCTCTTCAACTGACCCAAATTTTAAAGTCATGAATTATTCGTAGTTATACAAGAAAGGGGTGTGTTCACATTAGTTAACTTGAGCCCGGTTTTCGGACCGTCTATTAAAAGGAAAATAGGAATAAGAGAAGCGATCACCTAGCAACGCGAGGAACGGCTTCCTATATCTTATTTAGCGCTAAAACTCAGATATATAAGCAAAACACATACAAAAAGTAGAACTGAAAACTCTCTATTTCAATTTTGTCTGACGTTTTCTCCTATCTATCTCGAGGAAATGAAAAACTATCACAGTCTCAGCGTTTTACGCACCGTTAGTCAGTTAATTATGCGAGTTCGCAAGCCCAAAGTTGAATACAAATTAGTTCTACAGGAAAGACCCAAGGGAGCACCTTGACGAATTATTATATAAACAATTTTAAATAACTTAACAAGGATCAATTAAAACAAGCGACTAATAATTGCTAGCAATAAAACCACAAGAGAGATACCGTTTTAAAAACTTCGTTAAAAAACAATGACAAAAAGAGTCAAATACACAGCAATTTGTAAGGAATGGAAATCAATGAATCTTCATCTTCTTCGCCCATGGAGTACTTGTAAGGTTTGAATTTCTTATGCCGGCGTTTCCTCAGCCGTTTGGCATGAGCTTTATTATCATCCAAATAATCTACAAATTGAATCCGACGCCTTTTGCGCTTCGGGCCTTGTGATTTCTACTGTGGGAGGAAAGGTCAGGAAAGCAGGAGTGGTGGTGGGGTAAGGCTCTCTTTGTCAGGTTTTTGAGAGATAGCCGCTTGTGTTAATTCAGGTGTTACATTAAAGGCGTTGAGGGGAGGGGAGAATGCTGTCGTTGCTGTCGAAGAATCTTTTGTCCTTGATGTTAAGTCTGGTACAGTGCTGATGATTTCTTCCTGTCGTGTTCTTGTATTTAATTGTTCTTTAAAAGCCAGGTATATGTTTTGCAACTGAAGTATCGTTTAGCTTTTTCATCGTCCCGAAGATCGTTTCGAGAAAGTACGTCATCCATGTTGTCTTGTATTTCTTACATAGCTGGAAGAAGCGGGACAGGCAAAAGAGTTTGCTGCTCCATATATTTTAGACGCTCTTGAGGAATATTTTCTTGAAAGCCTGCTTGGTTAAAGCCTTTTTCACTGGGCAAGACGTTTCTTCGCAACCGACAATTATCTTGGGTAGTAGCTTTCAGATCTATCAGAAGATAACCAAAAGGTCTTTTTACAGCCTCTTCGTACTGATTTAAAAAGAAATCCGTCTGCCCGGGATACATTTGCTTGGCCAGAGTCAAGATTTGCAATTTGTCTCGTGAATTCTTGAATAACACCAAGTAATGACTGTTTAGGTTTATGCTGCGGCCACCTTTCCCCTGATGAAATAGATTCTGCACGATATAAATCACGTTCAGATTGCGATAATGAGAACTACGAGTAAAGAGGTTCACGATTCGTTTGTCTTTACTGGCGTCAATCATCTGATCATCAAACATGATCAAATTCCGTTTGTTCACATTAAAATAGGAATCCTGCTCCAAAGCCATAGGAATTCCCTTGACGAATTCAATGTGTGACATGGCGACTAACGTTTGTGTATACGCAGGCTGCCATTGTGAATAACACCAAACGATCCTCTCCGGGATATGGTAAATGGTCTCTGAAGCTTGTTGCAATAGAGCTCGAACCCAGGCCGTTTTTCCGGACCCGGTCATTCCGGCAATCATGGAGGTGAAAGGATGCTCGAAGCGAAATCGCTGTCATTTCTGTGAAAACATTGGAACTGTTTGAAATGGGGTGAGACCAGNTTATCTTGGGTAGTAGCTTTCAGATCTATCAGAAGATAACCAAAAGGTCTTTTTACAGCCTCTTCGTACTGATTTAAAAAGAAATCCGTCTGCCCGGGATACATTTGCTTGGCCAGAGTCAAGATTTGCAATTTGTCTCGTGAATTCTTGAATAACACCAAGTAATGACTGTTTAGGTTTATGCTGCGGCCACCTTTCCCCTGATGAAATAGATTCTGCACGATATAAATCACGTTCAGATTGCGATAATGAGAACCACGAGTAAAGAGGTTCACGATTCGTTTGTCTTTACTGGCGTCAATCATCTGATCATCAAACATGATCAAATTCCGTTTGTTCACATTAAAATAGGAATCCTGCTCCAAAGCCATAGGAATTCCCTTGACGAATTCAATGTGTGACATGGCGACTAACGTTTGTGTATACGCAGGCTGCCATTGTGAATAACACCAAACGATCCTCTCCGGGGTATGGTAAATGGTCTCTGAAGCTTGTTGCAATAGAGCTCGAACCCAGGCCGTTTTTCCGGACCCGGTCATTCCGGCAATCATGGAGGTGAAAGGATGCTCGAAGCGAAATCGCTGTCATTTCTGTGAAAACATTGGAACTGTTTGAAATGGGGTGAGACCAGCATTGCGGTGTTTAGACATCACGTGCCTTTGCATACTATCTTTTCTACTAAAGGATTTTTCGCAGACAGAACAGAACCAACTCATGTCAACTTCTCAGGAGCAAAATGTAGACTGAGAGGTAGAATGTTGCGCATTCATATAGGTTTCAGGCCATAAAATTCTATTGTTTTCCTCACCCAAGACCACCACCACTACATTTGAATTGTTTTCCCTCCAGCACCACCACATTTCTATTGTTTTCCCTCCACCACCACCACATTTCTATTGTTTTCCCTCCACCACCACCACCACCACATTTCTATTGCTTTCTTTCCACCACCACCACCACCACCACCGCCACCACATTTCTATTGTTTTCTTCCACCACCACCACCGCCACCATATTTCTATTGTTTTCCCTCCACCACCACAACCACCTCATTTTCCATTGTTTTCCCTCCACCACCAGAACCACCTCATTTTCCATTGTTTTCCCTCCACGAGATTCTATAAGAGACTACCAACTGCCATTCTTACTTCATTTTGTAGCAATATCTCGTGTAGTGAACAACAATCGTGGTTTTCTTCAACTGTTAGCTGACTGCCCTGCTTATCAGTTTCTTTTAAAGACAGCTACTCACAGCACCTACATGCACTAGTCCAAGTCTTATACAATGTACTCATGGGACACATTCCCATCCCCGAAGAAAATAAGCGGATATTGCTGCCATATAAGGATGCTTTACCTAACCTGGCCAGTCCAAATGTCGCTTACAAAACAAAGAAAAAAGGCCTTATACAAGAGGGTAGTAGTTTTATTGAAGATGTGTTAGCCCCTGTTGTTTCAAGCTTAGGATTTCTAATGCTATAAAAGAGGTGACGTAACGGCAAGTTGATCATTCGAAGCTAAGTTTGTTATGGGTACTCATCAAAATGAGGAGAAAGATAGATTTGGTTGAAGAACAACACGAAAGTGAACATGAAGAAAGCGAAAGTTATGGTGATGAAAGCGAGGATGAAGAACCGAGAATAAGAGAAGAACCAAGAATAAAAGACGTTTTGAGTCATCTTTCCCGTTCACTGCCGGAAAAGGGTGCTTCTGATTTGCTGCACAGTATGGCCGCGTCCAAAGATATTCTTTTCTGGACTCCTACTGGACAATTACTTCGAAATAAACGCACTATTCCCGTCACAAACATTGCTGAGCTAGTTGAGTATGTGTTACTCCCTCATAACGATGAGGTTACAAAGCCTCGTGCGCTACGTTTTTAGATGGACTCGCAGAGTTAGGAATTGATAAAGGTTTAATCAAGAACAAAAAATTGTTAAGTGATTTCATAGAAAAAGAAAAAGGCTACCAAACTGTAGAAAATACTTCCGATAACGACAGTAATAATGAAGAGAGTTCATCGGATATTGAAAATCAGGAGGAGGAGGAGGAAATGGCTTCTGAGAATGGCGTTGAAGCTGAGGGCACCCAAGAGAGCAACAACCACACTGAAAACGACAGTCAGGAAACATAAAGTAGTAGCCCTGAAACGTCCACCACCTTTCACTCTAAAAGTCCCTGTGAACATTGTGAGAACTCTAATGTGCACTGGACATTGACCATGAAATGTCCTAAATGCGTTTGGCACGATTACTACAAGATTAGTCCTATATGCGATCACCAGATTCCCGAGGGGAGAAATTACATGAAAGAGGGCTTTCGTCTGTGTCACGATTGTCGAGCAGTTACACACAAAAACGCGAAGACTTTGGAAACCAGAAGGATTAATTAATTTCCATTCCTTTCAAATATTTGTGTATTTGACTCTTTTTGTAGTTGTTTTAATAAAGTTTTAAAAATGGTATCTCTCTTGTGGTTTTATTGCTAGCAATTATTACTCGCGTGCTTGTTAAGTTATTTAAAATTGTTTATATAATAATACGTCAAGGTGCTCCCTTGGGTCTTTCCTGTAGAGCTAATTTGTATTCAACTTTGAGCTTGCGAACTTGCATAATTAATTGACTAACGGTGCCTGAAACGCTGAGACTGTGATAGTTTTTCATTTCCTCGAGATAAATCCGGGTACGTTCATCCCTCTATGACTACTGAAATGGGTAAACAAACCAACCGCACTTAAAGCATGCATGCTCCGTCAAGGCATAAATACTAGGTCATGCTTATGCATACAGCTATAAACGAATTTGTTGTATGCATTTTCTATTCAAAGTGTAAACGGATTCGTGTGCACATGCCAGCAAGGAAAGCCATGACTAAGGAAAGCCAGCATTTTCACTGGCAAGAATTTCCTTTCTTAATACTAGAGTACAAATGCGACGGAAAGCTGAAGGCCGGAACCAACTGAATTCTACACGGTTCTCGAACTTGTGAAATATAACAAATCTAAAATAATGTTTTTTTTTGGCAGAGTAAAAGGAAGATAAAGTTGTAAGGAAATTTTCAGACACTGATGAATAATTGATTTCAGTTTAATGTGTTCTCTTCGTGCTATTAATTAATTTTAAAATAAAAGTTTATGTTAAAATAAAATAGTAAAGGAGCCCGCCTGAGCAATCTCGAGGTTTTCAAAAATCCTCTTTCGACAACACCCTTTGATTCCATCCGCTACAAGATTATCTTTTTATCTCCATATTTTAAAAACTCAAAAGCCAACATCCGATCAAGTTGTTTCAAACTGTGAATCTCCAATGGTTATTTCTTAATATTCATGTTGGTCGCCAATTCCAGAAAGCTAGCCCCCAGGGTTTTAAAACATTCACACAAATTGCTAAATTCCTAGATGGCGTTGAGCAGGTAATCAAAAGTAAAGACGTTTGGATTTATTTTTATGCACTTCTTAAATATCCACAAGCTGATTAGGCAAGATATTTCTGGGGTGGGAAATTTAGGCACAATGTTGGTGCCCGTCTCAGGCGCAATTTCATACCATCTTAAAGAAATGAAGTATTTTAACATATTTTGTTCCTTCTTTGGTAAAGTAAAAAATCAAAACTTACTACGTCAAATACATCCTTCGAGCTGCAGAAAAAAAAAGACGCCTTTGCCTCTAAAGTTAAGATTATTTGAAACACATGTACATCAACAATTTTAATTAATAGCCCGATTTCAGGATGTCGTCAGGAAACAGACAAATTGACTAAAAGTATACATATGAAGAGATGAATAAAATGTAAAATGACAAGCTGTTAACAATGGTTTATTTTTTCTGAAAGCATCTGTAACGAGACGTATTAAAATAAAATGTAAGCGGCCCCTGCATTAACAATACATATGCATGTAGCTTTGGAGGTTCCTGAGGTCTTAATAAGGTGGGTAAAGCATTTATTCACCTTGCTATCACAACTAATGAGATTTTAAAACCCTTGCGTTAGTTGGCTTTTCACACTTATCTTTCCCCTTCGATTCTCGTGGTTTCTAACAAAAAAAAAAGTGAAACAAAGATCTATATTACACCCGTCAATTTCATTTTTCTAGACTTTAAAGGTTGTTCTGTATATTTGTGGAATCCCAGGTCATTGCATGATCAAGGTGTATCAAACTCAACGATCACCGATGGAAATTTAGAAGCCAACCTCAACGTATCATTTATTAGCACGAGAGAAAACCAGAGGGTATTTCTTAGGTTTTTAATATATTTCCTTGGTCCATCCTGACAGTAATTACGATACCATTTAAAAAACTCAAATCTAGATTAAAAATTGACGTATTATAAGGGTAAGATTACTAAAAATCAAATATTTAACTCAGGCAAATATGGCGAGGTACATCACTTTTGTTATCTGCTTTCTTTGGTCGACGTCTATGACAATAACGGACAACTTCTCGTCAAGAATTGACCTGGTAATTGGTGGATTCTTTGGAGTCAACATAACCGATGGCGGCTGGAGCACAGCTACTGCTATCCCCGCGCTTGAAATGGCGCTCGATCACGTGAACAGTGATCCAAATGTTCTGACAAACTACAAGCTCAAATATGTATGGCGTGATTCTAAGGTAAGAAAAATGCCTTATAAAATTGAAAGGGACAAGTTTAATGATTTAGCCCAGATTATGCACTTTTGGAACATAGCTAGGATTTTTCAAAAGACTGGTTACTCCTCGTCACTCCCAGGGTACTTACCAGATTGTCATACTAAAATCAAGGCTGTGTTTTAGTGAAAATGACATCCATTAGGGAGTTTAAGATACCACGACGTTGACGGCCACGAAAATCTCGCTTAAAAAGTGAATTTGCGTTCTTTCAATAGCTTATGCTTCAATGTAAGCGAACTCTTTTGAGCCGAATTCCTAAGAACCATATTCAACTTCAGAAAGAGAAAGAAAGTTCGGCCGTCGCTTGTTTACGTCCCTCATAAAACGTGAAATTAGGCATTTTTATTTCTCATTTCATTTCGTTTATTGGTTTATTCAAATATTTACAATTTTATTTTTTCCCTGCCCACAAACAGCAAAGGCTAGTCTAGGTGGGCAGTGTTTATATAAAACAAAACGAGCCCTCCAAATGGTATTATATTAAATTAACAGATCAGCACAAGTTATTTAAGCTTATATAAGTATATTAAGTTGTACAAAAGGCAAGGAACAGAAGAAAGGTTACGTTAACAACAAAGCTGAGATTAACTGGATTACAGAATATAAGTCAGAAGCTTACAAGTACACTATTAAGATGATTGCAAGATAACAAGTGGGTAATTAAAAAGTACGGACGATTCTGAACATGTCTCATTTTTCCTAATAAGGTAGGTAGATCAGGATAGTCGTTTGTTTGTGAAAGGATTTGAAGTAAGCAGCCATGTATTTTCTTTTTGAAGCGTTGTTTTGGGAGATTTCTAATAGTCGGAGGTATGCAATTCAAAATTTTGGCCCGCAAAATATTTCTCGTCGTAGCTCGTGCAGTGACGGCAAGAAATGTACAAAAAAAATGGAAATATTGTCACCGCAAACAACCTGTGGAAAATAGATATCATTATTCAAAGAAAGCGACTTATAGGGTTTTAGCTTGAGCTTTGGATAATTTTAATTTTCTAACCTAAGTTTTTGCGAAAAAGGGAAAGGGATACCTCTCACAAGGGGGGGGGGGGGGGGGGGGCGGGGATCATGGGCACCCCAAGACCCCCTCTAGCTCCGCCCGTGCAGTTTTCAGAGAAAATGAATACGTTCTTCACTTTATTGATGGACAAAGGCTATTTTAAACGGGTATCCTTGGTGAAACATTAAATTCTGCAAGCAGAACACTGCGATGCTGATCGTACTAAGAGAAAATTAACTTTGCAAGACATCAACACGACACCGAAAGAACCCAAAACAGAGCGGGATTGTAGCAATAGACAGCTGTTTCCTCATTGAAAGACGCCTTTTAAAATTATATATATGCACAGCAACTTAAGACATGGGGTAAAAACACTTCTTTTGGATTTTGAAGAAGTAGTAAATCTTGATGACACTGTCTTTTTGAACAAGGGCAAAATTTGTATCTTCTAGCTTTATTTTTTAGTGTGAAAGTGGAGTGGCCATCCGAGCTATGTTAGACTTGATCAACACACCACCGCACAAGATTGTTTTCTTGGGACCTGGATGCTCGATAGCAACCAAGCCTATTGCTGAAGCCGCGTCTTACTGGCAAGCAGTGCAAGTAAGTGTTCGTAACAAATCAAACAAAATAATAAGCAAAAAAATGAAAAACAAGAAGCAAATAAAACAAACAATAAAAACAATGAAACAAGTTAGCTGTACTAAAAGGAAAACAAAAAAAAATTAAAACACAACAAAAGAGGAGTCCGTTTGTTTTTTCGCATTTTACTGGAGAGCGAGCATCAGCCGGAGGCAGCACGCATTTTTTTTTCTGTCAAAGGTAAAACTCCAAATTTCTTCCCCGATGTCAGAAGACAGGCATGTCAGTGATAATTTAATAAGAACTGGTCCAGGGGGGAGGAGGTTGAAAGTGTCAAGGGGACAATTTGCTTGATTTAGACTCTCTCTGCCAGATACTTTCTTTAAAACATGAGATGTTATCACGTTTCTCTTTGTTTTCAGATTGGGTACAGCGCTTCTTCACCATCGTTATCAAATAAAGAGAAGTATCCCCTTTATTTCAGAACAAGTACTTCAGAAATAATAGAAAATCCAGCTAGAGTAGCGCTACTCAAGCACTTTAAATGGAAAAGGGTAGCTCTCATTGTACAGCAAGCGGACATTTTCGAGTTGGTAATTAAAAAAGGAAGTCTAATATTCATTAGGTACTTGGAATGAAGGATGTGAAAAGTTTGGCTGCTTTTTCCTTTTTGTTTGACTAGAAGAGAGAATTGTGTGATTTTGTCGAATTTAAGTGTAATCGCATAATAATCGATAATCGCAAGATTAAATTTGCCCGTAACTTCAAAACACTAAGCCCATCTACACAGCTCGCCATAACAAGATCAGGTTTTTGCGACCATTAAATACTTCTACATCAGTACTTCAGTACTTCTACATCATAGCTATTTTTCTGGAGCATTCTCATTCTGGTTGGTTTCACAAGTGGTTATAGCTTTTGATATCTGGTTTAACGGAGCACTTCCATGTAATGGTGGAAGTGCCTTTCTGTGCCTGCGCACATCAATTCGACCATTCAGAAGGAAAGCTAAGGAAAGATCTAACCATTTTTAAATGGTTGAAAAATCTTCTTAAAATCTTCCTTAAGCCCAAGTGGAGCTTGAGTTGAGCATCAAGAAAGAATCGAAAAAATTTAAGGTCATGGTTATTGAAGAAAAATGTTCTTGATTCGGGCAAGGACACAATAATTTCTATTTTGATTCCTAAAGGTCCCATTGGAAGGTGGTACGATAAGCGATGACATTTTATACATGTTTTTAACAACTTAACTTCTTTTGTTATGCACAGACGGTAGATGACTTTATCCCGATGTTGAGGGAATCGAACATCACTGTAATAGCAACAGAAACCTTCCAAAACGATCCATCTTCGTCGGTTAAATATCTTCTGAAGGTAAAATGACAGCAATGAATATCAGCTAGCTTTATGCATGTTTCAACTTTTGTGGGAATTCTTCTTTAGTACTCTGAGCGCACTAAAAAATTGCCTCCCTTTCACTTACATTTTTTCCGAACACATAATTAAGAAAATGCAAGTGACTCGACAGATATTGCTTGTTTTCAGTGTCACGCCATTCAAAATAGATCAAAGTAAAAATCAAAACCGTTCAATAGATAAAGTCCAGAATCTGGGAAATGAAAGGAGGGACATATACAAAGACCCTCGCTAAGATTCAGGACAGAGGAATATTTCGTATACGAGATGTCCGAAGAAATGTTTTACCCAAACTTATAGAGATTTGTATGGAGACGCCATGCTGGTACTCACCTGGATGAGCTCCAACATGGCGGACGGAAACCAACAGAAACATCTGTTACCGAGTTTTGCTACAAAAGCGTGAATTTATTCTTCGAGAAACTCATAAACATTAAAGTAACACTTTTTCTAATGCATGAACTGTTTAGATAGCAAAATCTCCTGAAAAAAGTTATTTTTTTAACCTACATGACAGCTCTCTTGGCCGTCATGTAAATGCCGCGTCACGCTAAAGCTTAGAAATTCAAGCGTACTCTATCACAAAACCAAGAACGCTTTTGAAGCAAAAATTTGTATGAAAATTAGTTTTCAGCTGTTCTAATGCATCGTGAAAGTAAACTCTCGGTAGGATCGATAGTTTTTTAGTTTGATTTTTAATGACGTCATGTGAAAACCAACAATTCATTGTATGCCACATGAAACCACTGTATAACTCATTTATTTTTCTTTATTGTTGTTGCTAAGTCGTGCTAATTATGGATTTGTATCTTTAAGAAAAGAGATGCCAGGATAATTATTGGTTTGATGTATGACGGCATGTACAGAAAAGCCATGTGCACAGTAAGTAAAATATCTCTTTTATTTTGTGAAAGGTTCGATCCCAGGAGTCATTTCATAAGTAAGCATGGTCGTCCAGGTGATCGTAGTACAGAATAGGACTGTTATTGACAGTGACCGACATTTCAACAACCTGTGCGGTAGTCATTTTTAGAGTCTAACTGAGTTGCATCATGTCAGTTTATGGTATAGAACTCTGGTTATGACTGACCTGATTGGTCATGATGGCGATGTTTATTGGTCGTCTGTCAGCCGGCCATGAAGACTCTTTAATGTCATTGGTGCGTTTCGATCCTTTTTTTTGCCAACGTTGAACAGTCCCTTATTGTTAGCCAAATTGTCGGTCATCAGACTTTTGCCACTTGCACATCTCCCAAAATACAACGTGTTTGCCCCCAAATTTTGCATAAGCATTGTTTTCAATTTCTCTTTGGACGGCTGTAATACCCAGGAGAAATGAAAAACAAAGGTTGTAACTGGCTATACAGCATTCAAAGGTAGAATTGATAGCATTAAAAATGGCTACAATAGACTCCGTTGCAAAATGATGATATTTTAAACCTATGATGTATGATGTTAGCACACTTTGTGTGCATAAACATTATGTGACTGTGTATTTTTCACATGAAATGTCAATGGATGATGCATCAACAAACGAAATGATGGAGAAGGGTGTGTGTGTGTGTGGGGGGGGAGAGGCTCATGGTATTTTGGGTTATGGGTTATGGAATGAAGGGGTGGGCAAAGAAAAAATAATACCAAATAATAAGGGGGTTGGCTTCCAAAAATTGCATGTGGGAAAACTTAGCTCACCATAGCCCTCCCCCCCTCTACGTACATTATGAACCCTCCTTAAGAAGCTTATGCTTATGTGGTGGTGTATTTTTATTTCCTTGCACAAATAATATCTTCTAAAATTAATAAGCATGTAAACGTATACGCATATGCAGCAAATACTTTGAATTATTTTAATACATAATTTATTTGTTATCTAATCTGACGTGAGAGTCTCTGAGCAATTGGGGGATTTGCAGTGTCTCACCGAAGGACAGATGAAATATCATGCGTTAGGAACCAAGACTGTGTTAATTGTCATAAAGTACCGACAAAGGGACTCGCCATGTTTTTTCTATAGTCCTAATTTATGTTGTATTGCCGGGACCTTATAAGTCGGGACCTAGTTGGATGTCTCACCTAAAAAGTTGATTTACTCCTAGGCTTATAGAGAGCAGCTTTATGGAAGCAGATACGTATGGATCATTGTTGGATGGTATCAAGATGACTGGTGGACAGTAAAAGACGTGGAATGTGAAGGGAAACAGTTAAAAGAAGCCGCCACAAACGTGATTGAAACTCGTCCAATTTTGCTCAGTACGTCACGTGAGTCTACAATATCCGGTAAGGTAAGTGCTTTGGGAATAATGAACACTCGTCACTTTTTTCGCACCATTTTCATTCACTCGATGGAGTTTGCTCAGCAGCTAATAATTAGCCTCTTGCCTCATAAGTGTGTCCTTACTGCACTAAAGCCACTGCCTGTTTTGATCGCGAGGTGTACATGTTGTGGTTTGTTTTCAACAGATTTTCCTTTGTTGTAAACTTTTTGTCATACACTGCAATACCCAAAAATAAGGTAAAAAATACTTTTAACCATGGATAAAATTAAAATATATCATGTATGGGTTATCCTCGCTTTGAAGTTTATTTCCCTTCGTTTCAAACTGAGCCCGATCATACACTGTATGAAGCGATTTATTGTATTAGAATTCGTAAAAGAAATATTCTGTGATCTTGAAATAAGTCGAATTTCACCTGAGACAATGCCACTTCAAAACTGGATAATACTTCCTTGCGTGACCTGGACAAAAGTCGATTGATGAAAGGACCGGCATTGCATTGGTAAGTGTATGACTGCCCCATCTAAGCTAAAAATTTCCAGAAAAGAAGATACATTCACTAGTTACACCCGCCTGCCACGAATGCTGTGTGAGTGAGAACTCTGCCTCTGCTCTTAGAAGGCTCAAGGCGTATCTACAAACAACTATTTCGCATGCAGGAAATATTGAATCACTGCATGATTCTCCACGTTGACAAGGAAATGACTGAAAAATTGAACATGTCGGACATTGGAAACCAGTTTGTTTCATATCAAATGACAGGCAAAATCGCTTTGGAAAATTCGGTGTCAATTAAAACTTTCTCAAATCCTGTATTGAACGCTAAAACAAAATGACAATTGATCATTTCTACGAAAGCATTTACACATGTAAGTTTGATCAGTTTTTTTTGCTAATTTGGAAAAGGTCTTCAAGTTTTTCTTACTTCGTTGACCACAAGAAATTCTGGTGTTTTCCAAATTTTAGTGTTCAGATTGCACCAGATTGCATCTTAGAACACTTAAATTTTCAAAATTTCCCGGGTGATCATGCCCCCGGACCCCCTAGTTTCTTCACTGGCGCTATCGTGACAATATTACACATATGATGAAGAGAAAAGTATTAGAATTACATTTCAGACTCCTAGACAACTAAACTCAGAGTACGAAACGCGTCTTGGGCGTTTGAACATCAGCCACCACTATTCGGCTTTCATTTATGATGCCGCCTGGAGCATCGCTTTAATGTTGAACAAATCTATTCCACTGCTGCGAGAAAAGAACAAAACGCTGGAAGGTATGGATTACGGCGATGCAGATGGTGCTCAGATGATGAGAGACATTCTGTTTCGAACAGACTTCTGGGGCATGTCGGTATGTTAACTTGTTTGTGGAACCATGATTATAAACAATTATTGGATGAGGTTTTTGTGATATCCAGAATAATCAAGGTCGAAGTAGGGGTTATCAGCCAAAGCCCAAGGCTGAGGCTGATAACCCTTACCGAGACCTTAATTATTCTGAATATCACATAAACCGAATCTAATAATTGTTTTATTATACATTGAACGAATCTTTTCTTTCTCGCTTCCACACAACATGTTTTCAAAGTTTGTGCCAACTCTTTCTTTTCCTCAGGTTCTCTCAGTTTTTTGTCTTTCACTTAATCAGCAAACAGCTCCTTTGCCACCTTCGTTGACCTTTTTGTGTTTGTGGGTCCTTTTCTCCAACTACTTTTTCGATGTCTTGCTAGGTCAACGAAGCAAACCTGGAAGTCATGTTTTTGCTTCTTCACTGACGGCAAGCAACACAAAGCGCGCGAACTTGACATGATTACCCTTAGAAATCATGCACCGCGGTCATACATGACACGATTACCCGTGACCTTAAGTGTTCTTGCCATGATTATTGTATAATCTGCAGCTAGATAACGTCCCAGGCGCTGATTTCGAAAATTCACTGTACGCTTTCGGCCAATCAGAAAAGAGATAGTGAGTTCAATGTATAATAATCCTTGTATTTATTCGTAAAGTTCGCAGGAACCAACATTCAATAATACAAAAATAAGTTATTTTCAGGGTCGTGTCTCATTTGACGAAGATGGAAACAGACAAAGTATTGTCCAGATTACTCAGAACAAACGTAAGTGAAGATTGAAATAAAGGGGATCTTTGGTCAAGAGAGTGGTTATATAAAGCGCCTCTGATCAATAATATGCTTAAAGGCGCAATATCATTACAGGAGCAAGGATTAGAACAGTCAGTTAGAGCGCGGCCTTCTACTGGTGCGGGAGTTTTTGAGCTCGATACCCTGGCGTGACCTCAAATCCTTGTTTCGACTTCTGTCCTGTTCATTTAGCTTTAAGTAGCTTCTTGAAAATAGTCTTAGCACGACCTAGCGCGGAGCAGAGATGAATAGAGGGGGTAAAACAAGCTCACCGTTGGCCTCAGGTTTGCCTCTTATTATTAATAGTAATCAACCGCGATTAGTATATAATTGATAAATTATGCATACGTGTGTTATTATCTTATTTGTACTCTACCCTGAAGGACGCGACTGATATCCACTCAACTTTTTGAATGATAGAGGGAAAGGAACACTTTCTTAAAGAGACGTTTATTGCTGATGGAAATTTTTTAAAAATGTTCACGCCAAAATAGTATTCCTGGACCCCCCTGTTACTCAATAATTGATAACATGAAGTTTCATCACGAATGAATGGCAACTGAACAATGACTTTGCGCTAAATAAGCAACAAATAACCCTATTATAAATATGTTTTGTTACTTATTCAATTTCTTAGGTGGCATGAAACACGTTGTTGCTCAGTTTGATGTCCGGTATAGAACGTTAACCCTTTATAACGAAAGTTTTGTCTGGGAAGGTAAGAAGCTACTATAATGGTCATGGATGAGGTCTCAGAGGGGTAGTAGCTATGACGGTTGACTGTTAAATTTTAGGCCGTTTGACGGCTAACGGTTAACCCAATTGAAACCGTCGTGGATTATTGCATCATCATGCCGCCACATGGTTCTGCATAAAAAGCTTGTTTCCTTTCCATTTTATAAACTTTCAGGCTTCGTGTGACCATTCAAATGTACTTTTCATGCTTGTCGGCTCAATGTTTGCTCTATTTATTTTAGGTGGTCGTGTTCCTGCAGACGGTGTGACGATCATTCAAAAGGTGTCACAGGAAAGCATTTGCGTAACAGTCGTTTTCTGGGTTTTGTGCAGCTGTGGAATAATTTTCTGCTTGTGTTGTTTGATTTTGAACTTTATTTACCAAACAAACAGGTAAGAAAGACAACAAAAGGCGTTGGAACAATGATTGGCGACTTATTGTCTGTATGTATGTATGTAAATCTTTATTTAAACACGGGAAATCATCAGTTAAGCTTAAGTTAAAAACTAAAACTAATTACAACTGCTTTACATGATTGCCGTGTGGGAATCCGATATATCAGCTACCTTCTTGATATTTCGCTTAAAATGCTCAACGGATGCAGCGTTTTTTAAGTTTTTGGGCAAGTTATTCCATAACATGGCCCCGCTGTAAGAGAAGCTTCGTTTCAAATAATTGGTGTTTGGTTTGGACAGGGTCAGCCTTCCCTCAGAGTTTCTTAAGTTGTAAGCAGAGTGACGCTGAGAGAAAAGACTTTGTAGATATTTTGGAGCAAGGTCATGTATGGTTTTATACATCATTAAGGCTTTTTGTTTCTTTCGTCGAAGAGATAGCCTCTCCCAGCTGAGGGTGGAGAGAAGGTGGTTTGAGCTCGCATCAAAGGGTGATTTAGTAATAACTCTGGCTGCACGATTCTGTAATTTTTGGAGCTTATCACTCAAGTAACCACTCAAACAGTCCCAGACGGGGCTGCAGTAATCAAAATGAGGCATAATTAAAGCGTTATAAATTTGAATTGCAGTTTCTTTGGATATAAAGGGCCGCACACGTTTTAGGGCGCCTATAGCTGAAGAGACTTTCTTGCAAATCTCTTCAACGTGTTTACCCCAAGAGAGTTGAGCATCTATGGTAAGACCCAAGGATTTGGTATGATCGACTCTCTTGATAATTTGGTCATCAATTTTGATTTCTACATCGTCACATTGGGCAGATAGTCTTTGTCTTGATCCAATAATCATTAGCTCTGTTTTAGCAACATTTAGACTGAGCTTGTTAGCTTTCAGCCAACAGCTAAGGTTATTTAATTCAGGGGTTAGAGCTAGCTTAAGCTCTGTTAACGTCTTAGCAGATAACGTAAGGTTGGTGTCATCGGCAAACATTCTTGGTACGGCGCCCCGCAGGGAGTTGGGAAGATCATTAATGTAAATTAAAAATAGCAAAGGACCCAATATGCTACCCTGCGGCACGCCGCAACTGAGGGTACGAGCAGATGATAGTTTGCCACTGACATTACATCTTTGGGTTCGGCCACTTAAGTACGACGAGAACCATTTTATAGCTGCCTGATCGACACCCAAGTATGACATCTTACGCAAGATGATCTCATGATCAATGGTGTCGAATGCCTTAGTAAGGTCAATAAAGACAACGCCATTTAGAAGGCCATTGTCGATGTTTACTGACCAAGCATTTGTTGCCTCAAGCAAAGCCGTGAGCGTACTATGTAGAGAACGGAACCCTGATTGGCAACCTAGTAGCAATTTATTATCATCTAGATAATGGAAAAGTTGATTATAAACAATTCTTTCAAAAACTTTCGAAATTATAGGGATTACAGATATTGGCCTGTAGTTGTTAGGGTCCGATTTAATGCCCTTTTTAAAAAGTGGAGTCACTTTGGCTGTTTTCCAATCGTTTGGATATATCCCAGTGAGAATAGACTTTGAGAATATTGAGGTAAGAGAGGGTGCGACGATATTAGCAGCCATTTTCAACAATTTACTCGGAATCATATCAAGACCGGTGGCTTTCTTTTCATCAATTTTCGACAAAACGTTAGAAACAATATCAACACTCGGAATTTGCAGAGAAAACGAATGATCAGTGGGCTTTAAATAAGACTCAGGATTAACATCGACAACAGGAATATCTTGTGCTAATACTTGCGCAACGTTTGTAAAGTGATCGTTAATAGTTTCCGCAATGTCCAAAGGGTTACTTGCTATTTTATCATCTACCTTGATCTCCAAAATATTCGTTGACTTACCACTGTTACGTGAAGTTAGCTCGTTGATAACATTCCATGTTTTGCGCAAATTACCTTTGTTGGCTTCCAGGTTGTCAGAAACATAGAGTTTTTCTGCGAGTTTAATTGCGTTATTTGCCTGATTTCTTGCACACCTAAATTGATCCCATATAGCCGGGTTGGGATGCTCTTCCCTTTTTTTCGGAACAAAATACTTAGATAACTGTTCTTATTATTCATTCAAAATATTTCCCCAATTCTGATTGGCTAAAAGCACACGCATAATTCACCATAACCACTTACTGATGAGCAAATTTGGAAGAATTTTGTGTTTAACGAGGAAATGACGTCAAAAATGCAGCCTTCTACAGGTTAATGCACTGTTAACCTAGAAGACCTGGGGACGAGGTTGAGTTGTTTTCGTTGTGAAAACTAAAATAGCGGATACTTCACTCGTTTCAAGAGTAGGAACTACAGCTGGAACTAGGCGAAATAATGGCTAAAACCATAGCAAAAACAGCAAAAAGACAACTCGGAGGGCGACATCTGCTATTTGGAGAATATTTGCGGAGCAGGACAAACCTAAACGTACACTATCGAAGATAAACTTAACACTGATGCAGGTATGCATGTTTTAGCTATGTTTTTAAACTAGAAATTATTTTGAATGAATTATAAATCAGTTAATGAATTCGGTTATCGTACGATATGAAGAATGAAGCAGGTATCAGAGGGTGTTATCCACCTCGGCCTCCGGCCTCTGTGGATAACACCCTCCTCGATCTGCTTAATTCTTCATATCCTACTCAGCCTCATACATTAATTGCTAATTAAGCGTGTTGCATCACAGTTGATAGAAATTATCTAATTGGTAGGGGACAGGTCTATCAATACGGGAATTTCCCGTGACAAACGTTGCCAGTTTAAATTTCCATCAAAAGAATCGGCGGTTCACCTGCCAACAGTGAATCCTTTATCATGTCGATATTTGTGTCTTATAGAAAGCTCCGTGAATCTTTCAAGACAGGAAAGAAACAACAAGCTAAAACCCTTCTATCGTTTTTGAAACAGTTTTGAATCATTCATTGGTACGGGGGGTTCTCTAACACTGAATTGAAAACGCACATTCCTGCTATGATAGCCGAAAAATAACAAAATGAGGGTGGATTCATTTGCAACATGCGCGCATAACTGTTGCATTTGGCCACTGGATCTTTTTATTGTTTGAAGGCTTAAAAACAATACAAAAATTCCAGCAGGCAACTACGACAGCTATACGCGTATGCAAATGAATCCACCCTGAGTTAACGGCCGGTTCATCCGACCCCAAGGTGGCCGCTGTGGACATTTATTTAGCGTGGGGTGCCTGTGGCACAGCTATTCCAACCCTGTCAACTCAAAAAGGGAGGTTTTAGGAGCGGCATAGCCGCTTTACGAAGAGCGCTTAAGACGCGAGCCTCTAGGGGGTTCGAGGCATGCTCTTCGGGAAAATTTTAAGAAATGTACCTCTAAGATGCCATGCATTTCCTGTGTTTTGAGATCACAGTCAATGGAAATACCGCGTCCAAAATTATCGCTGGCTTATGGTCGAATACCAAAAGAGTAAAAAATGGCTTAGAAACCACAGAAAATCGGCAAAGAAGCATGCCAAAAAGATTGGTTAGAAATGGAAAAGTTTAAAAATCCGGGAAAATATTAAGCGTAAACGGGAGGCCGGAAATATTCGCCGAAAACGAGAAATTTCCGGCCAAAACGGGAGGGTTGGAATCTCTGGAACTGGCATAAACTACAAAAGACTCAGTAGTAATCTCTATTTATTCCACGTTAGATTAATGTCCGTAGATTAATTTTGTTACTACCGCTACTTATTTACTTTGCAATTCAATCTTAATTTACAATGGCGAAAAAAATTTTGGCACCATAAGCTGGAAACTAACCTGCCTTAATAACAGACAATAGTCACAAAAACAGTCCAAAAAGGTCCAAATGCACTAAAAACAGTAACTGCAATACAATGTCAATTACAGCGAAGCTAACGTTCTGCTAATTTTCTCGTCACAGCTTTATAAGAATGTCATTTCCAAATTTCAACAATGTGTCAGTGATGGGATGCATTCTGTTCTACTTCGAACTGTTTCTATCAGCCTACAGCAACTCCATCTTTGCAACGCACGACTCTTCTCTCTGCTATGTAAGAACTAGCATAACTTAAACGCACTTAATATAGCCGGGACTTTATTGCCTCAAGAGAAGATTGCTCTTTAAGAACGACAGCTAGTTTTTATTAATGCAGACACATCGGTGTTTAGTCTGGGAAGGCGAACTAAAACTTCAGTATTCTGCCTTTTTTGACAACCTTTTTATGCCTTTTTTAAAAGAGAAAAATTCGACATGTGTAATTTAATGAGCCTTAAGATAATCGCAAAGTTATCGGTGTAGCAACGCATCTTTTGTAAGAAAAACACCAATCCTGAATTGCTTTGTCCAGTGTTGTAATGTGAGTTAGAATCCAAAATAATTTTTTTTTAAAGTGCGGATGGATGGAAACATAAAACATCTCTGGGATCTATGACAATTCTTGAATTCCTTGTCTGGATGTATTACAGTTCAGCTCACTTTCTTGTCCTGATTTCATTTATGTTAAACAGATTAATGTCTGCCTTCTCTGTTCTGGATTTACGTTGCTGTATGGTGGAATTTTTTTAAAAACGTGGAGAGTCTATAAAATCAGAAACGAGGTAGGGACAATAAATACCACCATACAATTACCACCACCTTCATGATCATCAGTATTGTTATCAACATCATGATCATCATTATTTGATGATAATGTGTATTTATGCTATGACCCACCACCACCAGTATTTAAGATGTCTTCCACTGGGACGGCCTGGATTACTATCGGTGATTCAGAGATCATTCGGAGCATAGCACGTAAAAGGAACCGACGAATCCACCTTGGCAAAGAATTCATCGGTTCATTTGATTCACTATTAGAGCGGTTTTTATTTGAGTGTCGAAAAGTAATTGGTTTTGCACTTTCTACACGATGCGATTGGCTTAAAAGATTCGCGCCACCTTTTCATCCAATCAGAAGTAAAACCAAAGGCAATTGTGACGCGCTCGCACGATTTTCCCGCGCTTTGC